GGACCACAGCACCCAAAACCAACTCATGGCACTCACAACTTGTCACCCAAGATGGTCCACGGCTCCATCCCGACATCCAGGATGGACCACGGCACCCAAAAACGACTCATCGCACCCCAACTCGGCACCCAGGATGGACCACAGCACCCCAAGGAAGATGATGGAACCCCATCCTGACATCCAGGATGGACCACGGCACCCAAGATGGTTGGTGGAACCCCATCTTGACATCTAGGATGGACCTCGGCACCCAAAAACGACTCGTTGCACCCCAACTTGGCACCCAGGATGGACCACAGCACCCAAAACCAACTCATGGGACTCACAGCTTGTCACCCAAGATGGTCCACTCAGGATGGACCACAGCACCCAAGATGGTTGGTGGAACCCCATCTTGACATCTAGGATGGCCAATGGCACCCAAAAACAACTCGTTGCACCCCAACTCAGCACCCAGGATGGACCTTGGCACCCAGGAGGGCTGGTGGAACCCCATCTCAACAACCAGGATGGACCACGGCACCCAAGATGTTTGGTGGAACCCCATCTTGACATCTAGGATGGCCAATGCCACCCAAAAACGACTCATTGCACCCCAACTCGGCACCCAGGATGGACCACAGCACCCCAAGGAAGATGATGGAACCCCATCCTGACATCCAGGATGGACCACGGCACTCAAGATGGTTGGTGGAACCCCATCCCGACATCCAGGATGGACCTCAGCACCCAAAAACGACTCGTTGCACCCCAACTCAGCACCCAGAATGGACCACAGCACCCCAAGGAAGATGATGGAACCCCATCCTGACATCCAGGATGGACCACAGCACCCAAGATGGTTGGTAGAACTCCATCCCCACATCCGGGATGGACCACGGCACCCAAAAACGACTCGTTACACCCCAACTTGGCACCCAGGATGGACCACAGCACCCAAAACCAACTCATGGGACTCACAGCTTGTCACCCAAGATGGTCCACTCCACCCCCAAGAGGGCTGGTGGCACCCAGGATGGACCACAGCATCCAAGATGGTTGATGGAACCCCATCTTGACATCCAGGATGGACCATGGCACCCAAAACCGACTCGTTGCACCCCAACTCGGCACCCAGGATGGACCACAGCACCCCAAGGAAGATGATGGAACCCCATCTTGACATCCAGGATGGACCACGGCACCCAAGATGGTTGGTGGAACCCCATCCCGACATCCAGGATGGACCATGGCACCCAAAACTGACTCGTTGCACCCCAACTCGGCACCCAGGATGGACCACAGCACCCGAGATGTTTGGTGGAACCCCATCTTGACATCGAGGATGGACCACAGCACCCAAAAACGACTCATTGCACCCCAACTCATCACCCAGGATGGACCACAGCACCCTGGAGGGCTGGTGGAACCCCATCCTGACATCCAGGATGGACCACAGCACCCAAGATGGTTGGTAGAACCCCATCCCGACGTCCAGGATGGACCTCAGCACCCAAAAACGACTCGTTGCACCCCAACTCGGCACCCAGGATGGACCACAGCACCCGAGATGTTTGGTGGAACTCCATCCCGACGTCCCCCATTGCCAAGAGCACCCAACACCGACTCATGGGACCCCCAAATTGCCACCCAGGAGGGTTTGTAGCACCCACCGCCACCTTGGGCCCCCCCAACTTGGCCCCACACACCCCCCAATAAACCACGCAAGCGCCCTGTCACCTCCTTTATGGGTGCTGGGACAGGGGGTGGGGTGGGGGAGCCCCCCAAGTCCTGGTGGGTCCCGTGGGGTGGGGAGAGGCTGAGCCCGGCCACAACTCGCCGCAGCGATGACCTCCTGGTCACTTCTTGGCCACCTTGGCCTGTTTGTGCTTTGGGGGCGCCCAGCGTAGGCAGATGGAGTCCACTTGTGGGGTGGGAGAAGAAGACAGTTATGGGGTGAGGAAGAGGGGGGAGGGGTGGGGTTTGGTTAATTAAGAGGGAGGGGGTTAACGAGGTACCGGTGATGGGGGGCTTCTTGTACTGGGCGCTCTTGAGGTGCTCCTCCACCAGCTTGGGGGTGACGCAGATGACGTGTTGTCCCTTCCAGTACTTGACCATGTTGAGGGACTGGAGGGTGCTGATGATGTCCGTCTGGGTGATGCTGGTCATCTGGCTGCGGGGGACGGACTGGGGGTGACTGGGAGGGACTGGGAGAGACTGGGAGGGACTGGGAAGGACCTTCCTGGTCTGACTGGGAAGCTCCTGGTGACCATCTGAGCTCCCCGATGGAGAGGTTGGTCAACAAGTTCCTCAGGTTCTCCAGTAGGATGTGTCATCCCATGTTACTGGGATGACTGGGGGGTTTACTGGTCTTACTGGGGGGTTACTGGTCTTACTGGGAGGCTCCTGGTGACCACCTGAGCTCCCTGATGGAGAAGTTGGCCAACAAGTTCCTCAGGTTCTCCAGTGGGACGTGTCATCCTATGTTACTGGGGGGTTACTGGGATCACTGGGGGGGGGTTACTGGTCTTCTTGGGATGCTACTGGTCTTACTGGAAGGTTACTGGGAGGCTCCTGGTCTTACTGGGAGGCTCCTGGTGCCCTCCTGAGCTCCCTGATGGAGAGGTTGGCCCAGAAGCTCCTTGGGTTCTCCAGTAGGACACATCATCCCATGTTACTGGGGGGTGCTGGGGGGTTACTGGGAGCACTGGGGGGGGCTACTGGTCTTCTTGGGATGCTACTGGTGCTACTGGGAAGGTACTGGTCTTACTGGGAGGTCACTAGGAGGCTACTGGTGTCCAACCTTGATGGAGAGGTTGGCCAAGGGGTTCCTTGGGTTCTCCAGCAGCGCCCGTGATCCCACCTTACTGGGGGGCACTGGGGAGTTACCGGGGGGTTACTGGGAGTTACCAGGGGGTTACTGGTGCTACTGGGAAGGTACTGGTCTTACTGGGAGGTCACTAGGAGGCTACTGGTGTCCAACCTTGATGGAGAGGTTGGCCAAGGGGTTCCTTGGGTTCTCCAGCAGCGCCCGTGATCCCACCTTAAGGGGGGGCACTGGGGAGTTACCGGGGGGTTACTGGGAGTTACCAGGGGGTTACTGGTGCTACTGGGAAGGTACTGGTCTTACTGGGAGGTCACTAGGAGGCTACTGGTGTCCAACCTTGATGGAGAGGTTGGCCAAGGGGTTCCTTGGGTTCTCCAGCAGCGCCCGTGATCCCACCTTACTGGGGGGCACTGGGGAGTTACCGGGGGGTTACTGGGAGTTACCAGGGGGTTACTGGTGCTACTGGGAAGGTACTGGTCTTACTGGGAGGTCACTAGGAGGCTACTGGTGTCCAACCTTGATGGAGAGGTTGGCCAAGGGGTTCCTTGGGTTCTCGTGATCCCACCTTACTGGGGGGTGCTGGGGGGTTACTGGGAGTTACTGGAGGGGTTACTGGTCTTCTTGAGACGCTACTGGTGCTACTGGGAAGGTACTGGTCTTACTGGGAGGTCACTAGGAGGCTACTGGTGTCCAACCTTGATGGAGAGGTTGGCCAAGGGGTTCCTTGGGTTCTCGTGATCCCACCTTACTGGGGGGTGCTGGGGGGTTACTGGGAGTTACTGGAGGGGTTACTGGTCTTCTTGGGACACTACTGGTGCTACTGGGAAGGTACTGGTCTTACTGGGAGGTCACTAGGAGGCTACTGGTGTCCAACCTTGATGGAGAGGTTGGCCAAGGGGTTCCTCGGGTTCTCCAGCAGCGCCCGTGATCCCACCTTACGGGGGGGCGCTGGGGGGTTACTGGGAGCACTGGGGGGGTTATTGGGAGTTACTGGTGGTTACTGGGTGTTACGGGGGGGCGCTGGGGGGTTACTGGGAACACTGGGGGGGCTATTGGGAGTTACTGGTGGTTACTGGGTGCCCACCTGAGGTCCTTGATGGAGAGGGTCCCCCGGAAGTCCCTCAGGATCTCCAGCAGGACCCAGGACCAGTAGCTGCGGTAGCTCAGCTTCCCCAGGTCCGACAGCGGCTTCTCGGGGGACCCCACCGTGCTCTCCAGCTTGGACAGCTCGTAGCCTGGGGGGGACCCCACATTTTGGGGGGGACAC